GAAAATTTGTTGTTTTTTTTTTTTAATCCATATTATTCAAAGAGAAAATGAGAGAGATGATGATTCTGAGGCCACCATATCCCAGCCATATTATTCACATATCGAGTCCCAACAGCAACAGTGTAGGGATGAGCACGACAGTGCTGGTGAGCATGAAGGATAAACAATCTTCGGGGATTTTAGATTGAGAACACAACAAAACACTAACACTCAAGGATTTGGGAATAGTCAGACGCCTGCTAATATCGATGATTCGTTTTTAGATCGAATCAATGAATTGTTAAACGAATTCAATCAATGGCACCAACGTGACCAAGAAGAACAATAACGTCGTCTATCATTTTATTTTTAGATCATATGTTACTAATTTTATGCTTTATTGTAGTCCATGTATGTTGATATACTTATTCCATGATAATTATATGTTCATCCTTTTGTGTGATGTAAATTAAATATTGAATGGCGGTTCATATAGGGAAAGAACATATCAATATTCGCATATTCATTCAAAAACATGAAAATTCATAATGGAGTACCCTCATTTCTTATTGAATTCCTAAAAAACAATATTTATAATGAATTTTAATAATTTTCTCGAATTTTTTTTAAATTTTATTATGACCGATTCACCGATTCCCGATCCAGATCGCCAATTTGCCGATCCGGATCTGTTTTTTGAAAGCCCGATCCGGATCACCGAACCGTTTTTTAAAACAATGATGCTACCTATCAATACCTGAGATTTTTTACGGGTTCATCTCCTTTATTTCAAGGTTCCCACGTCTAGGTACTTTGGTTTTGCTTACCGTCCCAATATCAGAGTCTTCAGATCTAGTTGCAAACTTTCCAATTGTATCTCTTTTATCTGAGGTCATTTTATTATCTTGTCTTTATCCTTGTTTTGACTTTTATCTTTTTGTTAACCTATTCTATTTTGTATTTTGTCTTTATGCTGGTTATAACTTTCATCTCTTTGTTAACCTAAACCCATTTTTCATTTCTTTAACTTCATTAACATATGATGAAAAATATTAACTCCAAACCAGGTTAAACTTTGATTGCATGGATGATCACTCACCAACATTTGATTGCATCGATGATCACTCACCAACAATATAAAACAATGTAGATAAACAACCAATCCACCCCAATAAGATCACATTAGATGAATGAAAAGAGTCCTAGACAAAGTTATTACGACATATCCCACAAAGAAAACCCAACATAATGAACTCAGCACATAATCATTACCACAACCAGCCCAGCTAGAGAGAGGACATATCAAGACATTTCCAATGTGATAATAGAAAAGTAAAAGCTGATGAGTGATAAAAAGAGTTGTAAGAATATCTATATTCTTATACCATGATCCCAAGTTCATAACCCCCTATATCCATATCCAGTCGTTACAAATATTAATCGAAATTTCCTGGCGTTTTCTTCTTTTAATGGGTATTTAAATCTGAGGTGATTATTCCTACTTAGCGTGTTGAGACTTCGAGCCCCAAACTGGCAATCAACCATTTGCAGATGTCATCCATCTCTTCAGGGATTGTGTGATGCCCTAGCCTGCAAAATTCCAATTTGATTGCTCAGTCCAAAAGCAAACGTGTAAAAGTTACACAAAAAGAAGGAAAACTTTACCAAAAAAGAGAGGAAAATTGAAAGAAAAAAAAATAAGGAAAAAAAACACCAAATGGGGCTCATACCTGCTGTAGGTTTTGAATGTCATACTTCTGAAGCCTGTTGAATTCAGGACTTCTGCAGATTTTTCCCCATGTTTGTATAGGACAACATCATCAGCTGAAAGAGTTCATATGCAGAAGAGTATTTGAGAATCAAGCACGGTTGGGGGTTAAGTATAACATAGCAGATATAAAAATCCTGCATGAATTAATTTAGTTTACAGAATAGCTAGTCTTTTAGGAAAGAACATGGCTGAACAAGCAATTCAATATTCTTGACATTTTGAGTACACAGCCAAATATTTATTAATGCATTTCAGGGTTAGACTACAATAATAGCTTTCTAAATGACAGCATTTAAAACTTGTGAATACTGCAAAGAGTTAAACACCTTGGATAAGTATGTTAGAATCCAATAGACTATGGGAAACATTATCCATTGTGATCAGATAGCCTGCTGAAATAATGGGACGTTAATGGTCGTTCCCCAGCTCTTTATCACCATCAAATTTCATTTGATGGTCAAGACTCTAATATGCTGCCTTTTCCAAATTACCATTGTCTCTAGTATAATTTCCCCAAGACTTTAAAACAAAATATAAGTCCTGAAATAATTATGATCGAATTTGGAAGCACCAAGATCTTCTTGGGAGAATCACACAACAATCACAATTATCACCATAACTTTGAATGGCTGATCTAACACAAACTTGAATGTCAATCTCCAAACCTACATACATGAACCCTAAACCAAGACAGCAGGGCCTAACTAAATCTAAGGCAATGTAATCAGGAGTTCAGTACTGGCTAGTCATGGCATCAAATCAGTGCGGGTACCGGTCCGATCGAAACCAGTCGGACTGGCTGGTTCACCGTCAGACTGGTCAGAACAATTTAAACGAAAAAACTTTACATAAAGACACAAAAATTGGTCTTGGACTCATCAAAAAGGGGTCTAGGTGGTTAAAAAACTAGTTTAAACCAATAGGTCCGACAGGAACCAGACCCTTCAAACCAGTTCAAACCATGCTAAGAAACTTCGCTTGGGCACGGGACTCTGACCATGCCTCAGACGAGTAACTTGCATGAGTCTAGGTGGACTCATGTGAGTCCTACACAATGTTTGCAAAACAGTCCGATGTAACCGCTAACCGGTCGGTTAGATCGGAACCGGCCAACGACCGGTCCCGGTTTTGCCCGGTTTTGGTGGTCACCTTGTATTTTAAACTTTAAATAAAATAATACTTCATATTTATATCAAATATGTTGGAATAGCGTATTGGTAAGCTTAAAAAAGAATCGGGCTTCGAATCCCACCGTAAGCATTTTAAAAACCCATGAATTGATTCAAAAACCATAAGTTGTTTTCTTTTACAAAAACCATATGCTGTTTTGGTTAAAAAATCATATGCCATTTATTACTTGATCACCATTAACTACTTAATTGATAAAATAAGGGTTTATATTATGTATAACATTTTATTTTATTTTTTTTAAAAAAAAAGAGATCATTTTCTTTTAAAAAAAGAAAAAAAAATATCATTTTGTTTTTAAAAAAAATATCATTATCTTTAAAAAAAAGAGTTGGTCAAGTCGATTTTTTTAACACTATTTTAATATTCTTTACATTATGGTAAAGATTAAAAAATATTTTGGTCATTGATACTCACTTTTATACTTTCTTATCTTTTCAAAAAAATTTAAAAATATTCCTAGGCACAAATCGACTCGTTAAAATCTATTTTTTCATTAATTTTCAACTTTATTTGAGTGTATTTTGTTTTAATCCCATTCTTTATATGTCTTTTATATTTTAGTGGATTTTTTTTGTATCTTTTTTATTTTTTTTAACATTTTTTTAATCGTTCCGGACTTGCCCGGTTAGAGCGGTTGAATAAGCTGGTTTACCGGTTAGGCCGGTTAAATGCTTCCAGACCCATGTCCGGTTAACCGTTCCAATTCGATTTTGCGAACACTGGTCCTACACGAGCACAAAAACTCAAAATTTTCCAACAAACAGAAAAAAAAAATTTAATTAACTTTTTTTTTTTTATAATGTAATAAGAGTAATGATCCTGTAGGACCCTCCCCCACCCATGTGTGTAGGACCCCAAAAGATCATCATTAAAGTTGGCACGGATCTTTAGAAAAATTATCACATGGGTGTGAGTCTTGACTTTTCTATAGATCTGTGCCAAATTTAATGGTGATCCTTTGGAGTCTTACACACATGGGTGGGGGAGGGTCCTATAGGATCATTTCTCATTTAATAATTCAGAATCATTAAAACTAGCTTTGATCAGTCGTAAGTCAAATAAACAGATCAAACTAGTTTCAGTGCCAGTCCAATCAGTCGGACAGGACAGTTAGGTCCAATCCTAGAACGATTGGTATAAAGACCTGAGGGAACAATATCTGTAAAGGGCCTGTTTGATTGCCATTCATTAGTCAAGAAGGGCTATCAAAATAAGAAAAGAAGACTTTATACTAATAATTTTGTGGTATTATTCTTAGAGAGTCCTTATATATTTATTATATGGAGTTGCTTTTTAGAGCTTCATATAATAGAGTAGCACTCGAGCCCATATCTCAATTGGAATGTGTTTAACTTACCCTACTCAGAAGAGTTGAATAATGCTAACAGGTCGACAATTAGCTTTGATCAATCCTACATGGTTGAGATAACCTTCCTACTGCACCCAGGGTATCATTAACTTTCTTTGGTTAGCTACTTAACACCAGATAATTTTTACTAGTTTAGGGAACCAACAATGCCATAATACATAGAGCATCCACATTAAAGAAAGGAAGCAGTTTCTATAAGGCCCAGGCCTTATTAAAAGAAGTAAATCCTCACCTCAAAAATCTCGTCTCCAAAACATTTTGGGCATTAGAAATCCCTAAGATGGCTCCAAAATCTATTTTCACCAGCTATAATGAAATTTTTACCTCAAAAAATGTTCCAGATCTTATGGATCTATGAGCACTTGAAAACGGATGGTCTAAATGATGTGCTACGATATACACTATTTTTATGGCTTAAAATCCTAATTTTATTTCACGACCACAATGATCATGGTCGAGATGAGCGATTTGAAGGTCTTCAGACACTGAGACTAAAATTTTCGGTACTTTTGAGGCGAGGCTTTGCTCTTTTCCATAAAGCCTTGGCCTTGTTTTAACCTTCTCCTTAAAGAAAACCTCAATTCCATTAGTTTTCATGGCAGCATATTATTAATTGCTTGTCTTATTCCAATCATCGAACATAATTCATCATTAAAAGATCTTGTGTCAAAAATAAAATAACAGCCCTGTTAGTCATCACAATACAGCATATAATCTTCATGTTTCCCATGTGAGAAGTTTTTGAACAAACAGATATTCATCTCTCTCTCTCTCTCTCACACACACACACACACACACATGTATGATTTTTTCTTTGATATATTCCAGTGGACTTCATATGTTTGTATCAAATAAACTCATTCATAGATGAACAAATCCCTAATAAACATACTTTTCCAACTGTTGATAGACATACCTTTCCCATGACAAAGTAAAAGGGGCAATGATGCAGCACGTCTTGCACACTCTGATGAACCTTCTATCTTGTGTTTTAAGCTCCTGAAAGATAGCAAACATCATTTAAACGTTGAAGAAACCCTTGTCCCAAAGAAGATTCAAGGTAAACTTCTTAAACAGGGAAAGACTAAGGGAGACCATAAAATCACCATAGAAAGACCATTGTTCGATGGGTCAACCCCATCTGTGGTAATGATGGACCATGACAGAGAGCATGGGAACCAAAAACATAACCACCGGATGGCCCCAACTCTATCTCTATCTCTGTCCATCATTAAATGGATGGTAATGACATTCCATAGATCAGGAGATTATGGTATTCCCTCAAAAGACTAAACTAAATTTGAATCTTAACTGAGGCAGCTAGATTGCAAACCTTGCAGATGGAAGCCAGCCACTCAGACCAACAACTACACTAAGGTTGACAGGATATGGGTTCCCGTTGCTGTATTTCCCGTGAGCAAAGCAAGTTCCAGAGTACAAAGCAGTTGCAGCACCCATACTAAAGCCTCCAATACCCAGCTTGACTGCAACAGCGGATAGAATTTTGAAGTGACTAACATAAAATCAAGAAAGTAACTGAATCCACCCTACCACCCCAATAACAAAAAAAACAAAAACAAAAAGAAAATAAACCTCCCCACCCCTCTCAAAGGCTTCAAATAAGTAGCGCAAAGTATCTATTACAAGAACAATTGGGGTGTGCTTCCCAAATTAAGTGGCCAAATAACTAAATCACCCAAAGCACTCGAGTGGTTTCCCATATCATACTATTCCACTCAAGAATCACTATACCGTTAACTCAGAGGGTATCTTAATAAATTTCCTTGTTATCATGACTATAAGATCTAAGATTGGAAATATTAATGTAAATCAGCGTGATATTCAAGAAAACATACTGTCAGAAGGCTCAGTTGATAACAAGTTTGCTACATGTGCAGCAGAAGCATCCAAACCCTCCGTGTCATCAGGAGCATCTTCTGAAAGCTCTCCAACATCAAACCCTGCACATGTAGCAAAGGCGAGAAGTGAGATGCTTCTGAAGAGTTCAATAACATGAAATTTTTCCTTACATGTATGTATGTATTTATTTATGTATGTATGTATGTATGTATTTATGTATGCATGTAGATGTATATGTATGTGCGTGTACACGCACTCACACATGTAAGCACAATACTTTACACGAGAAAGTAAATTGGGACAAAGGAAGCAGCTATACATGCAGTGCACGGAAATCCACCAAAAAGTGCTACTGGCCGGGTTGGTGCAGTTGGGCATATCCATTTAATCTAAATCATACAGAATCGCAAACATAATCAATTCAATCATTAAATATATCAGAGTTTCGTTCCCCAAAATGATAAAAGGAGAAGTAAGAAATAATTGTGAGAAAAAAACAACTTCTCCTTACATTAGGAAGAGGCAGAGTTTCCAAAAGTTGGGACCAGCTGCAAAAAACAATACCACAAATATGAGCGTGTCATTTCATAAGGAATACCTCTTGATGTTCAAGATCGGAAAAAGATAGGGTCCATGCATCTAAAGGACATGCAACACAGATTCCAACCATAATTACTTCAAAAAATACAGGTATGAATAATGGTTTCAGTTAAACTTTGAGAACTTAGGATGACAGAAACTAATAACGAAATTTATATGAGCAATCTGCAAGGGAGGTCAAAATTCATTAGTTGTGTGCAGAAATCAGGCTAAAATAGCGCCCTCAACTAACAAGATAAATCAACGTCCATAATACTGTTGTGTGGGGATGAAATGTTCCATGAAAACTTTAAATTTCTTATTCTGCAGAGAAGAAAAAAAAAACATATTACATATTCCTCTGAATATGGTCAAATGAAGAATGCATCAAGACACAAGATACTTGAATGAGAATCATCTCAGTATATTAAGGATTAGAGGGATAAGAGCAGCACTAGTAAGAAAGCAGTCCTACGAAATTTCTCTCACTTTGCAAAACAAAGGTTTATATATTGACTTAAAATGTTTGTATAGTAACTTATAATGTTAATATATGTATATTATGAACATGCATGCATGGACAAACCTACACAAACATAAATGCAACTTCCAATTCTCTCTGCATGTTCAGAGACAGCAACAGTAAACGTCATTACACAAGGAAGGAATACAAAGCCAAATCATGGAGGGTAGTTTCGTACTTTTACTAAATATGTCTTTACAGTTCTTTTGTCATCCTGGCCTCACAAACACATCATATTTATAAGATGTGGTCCCTCGTCATTTTTTTCTTTTTTGGAAACTGAGATGGTCCCTCATCATTTATGATGCGATTCGACTTCTCTATCATCATTTTATGAAGGCTTAGTACCCCACAACAGAATCTCATGCTTAGCATATTCTAGAATGAGTATAACATACTATAAATGAGTAAATGGCACTATCAAAGACACATAGAACATGAGTTACATTGAATTTGAAAGCATCTCCAATTCCAATGGATGTGGCCATTCATATTCATGACATGTGATGAGGAACTAATAGAACACGATGGCAACAACCAACAATGCTTCCTAAAGTTCTTTATGTTAAGGCAACAAGATTCAGAAGTCATACCCCTATCGAAAAGAATTACGTAACCATATACACATGAAACTAAAAACGTTGCCGGACTAATATACAAGAAATAATGCAATACTAGTATACCAGAAATAATGCAATAGGATTGCCACAATCCTAAATGAAATGTAATATGACAAAAGTCCAAACTTCAAGCAACCAATACATTATATGTGGGGGCAGTAAGAGTGTCATACAAAATTATTACTTGGATGTTAAAGTCAAAAATACAGAAAAAAATCCTTCCTTTGGATAAAATTCAAAACTCCAACTGTCTATACAATATTATGCATACCAATAAATTAAGAAAGACTCAATATGGCAGAGTCAATAAGTAAGATGACAATGCTGATTAGAAGAATAACCCAACTCAGTTATTGAAAACAATTCTTTAACCATTCTCATTATATAATAAATCAGGGAGGAAGAATACCTTGAACCATTGTCTCCAAGGCCATGAAGCCAAACAATGGTGGCTTGGTGCTTCCCTTTTGGTTTAACTACATGGGTCCTTCCAAAATCAAAAGCCCTTCTACCGGCCCTACTCCCTGAGTTTATCCATCAACCCACCTCCATTAAAATTGTAACTCTCCAAAAAAACCAATATGAGAAAGAAATAGATCAATAAACAGAGGAAGGGAGAAAAAAATGGAAAATAAATGCTTGAGGAAACAATACCAGAGCCCAAAGAACTGCTTCCATAGCTCATATTTGCTTTCACAAAGCAGAAACTTCTAAAAAGAGGAAACAGCTTCTGCAATGAACCAAAACCCAATGGAGTCGTCTATTTATACTCTCATTTTTCCTCAAATTTATGAACTTTCAAAAAAAGGGAACAAAACCTCCTGGATCTGATTCATGTACCAACTTCACCAGCTAGTGATTGTTCCTGGAAAAAGACTATAAAAGGAATGCATAGAAAAAGCAAGAAACCTTTATGCAAGAACATGAAAGATTATGGAATGGAATAAATAAAGGAACCCCCAAAAAACAAACACTAGGAGTAAATATCAAGCAAAAGCCAATAGGAAGAGGGCATAGATTTGCAGGAAGGAATAGATACTTGAGAGATAAAAAGGAGGAATAATAGAAGCTTGCAGAAAAGAAAGAATCAGGCTTTACATCAACGATGAAAAAAAACACACAAATTTTAACTCCAGATTCAATAAATGGAAGAAATATGATATAAAATTAGCAAGAGGATGGGCAAAAATAAAAGTGGGTTTTGCTGTCCATTCGGTTACCTACCTTGTTCAGTCGAGAGAGCAAAAAGCATTCAACCTTTTTCCCTCTCTTTCTCTCCCCCACCTGTGTTTTTTGTTTCTGTAATCTTTATACAAGGGGTTGTGAGAGAAAAAAAATCTAATGGACAGGCATCAGGAGCCTGTAAATGCCCCTAAAATTTGGCAAATGACCAAACGTGCTTCAATTTTATCTATGCTATTAACTAGTAAATACTAATAACTGATGTTAAAAAAACACCAATTACAAACTCAAAAAAATGAGTAGTTTATCATTTGGGTAAAATACCATTACAAGTTTTTGAGGAAGTAATCCATGATGAGAGATATGATTTTGGAGAAGCATTCATTACTACCCATATGAAAAGTTATCAAATACAAATCATTTATTTTTGGTAGTTTTTAGCTTGATTGTCAAAAATATTAAAATTGAAACATGGGGCCAAAATCCATAATGCTTCCTGACCATGCAGTAGCATAAAAAGAAATTCTTTTTCTCTTTTGTTTTTTCGAAGTATAAATAGGTTATTTATCTTTTGTACATAGAAGTTACATGTATTCTTACTCATTAATTCATTACATGTCAAATTGGAGAACTTTCTTTTTAAAATTTTATTTCTATTCAATGTTTTTCACGACCACCCTTTGTGAAATTTAAAGAGCAAAAATGATTGTAATCTCTATATACAAAATATAAATAGTCTATTTGTAAACAATCTCACAAGTAATAAATAAGGTGCCTGATTCAACTTCATGGCATTAGTAATAATGTATTGGGAGCAAATATTATGCTCCTGCATGTTCATACTCTGCATGATCATACTCCACATCTACTGCCTCAGTCATAACACCAAGCTAGGTTATTTTTCAATCTAAAAAACTTAGGAACCGTATAAAAATTATTAGATGAATATTTTTAAAATGAAAATTTGAATTTAAGTTCTGTGACACTTAGATCTAGCCCTTCAAAAATTGGACGGTTTTTATTTAATCTCAAGGCATTAGTTTTTTCTAGCACATAAAGAGTTTCCTTCTGAAACTTTTTTGGTTGACATTATTTTATAAGTTGTAAAGATTACATCCCAAAATTTGAGATCTAAAAAAGCATCCTTAACTTATAGTTTGTGTGAGGGAGTAAATGGATAGATACTCCAGCGTGAGCAAGAACTCTTTTGGCAAATGTGTTTATTATTTGGAAAGCATTGGAATCTAATGAAGTGGCTCTGCTTGAGGGATCATATCGGTTGGCCTTGTCTCATCTCAAAAAATTTTAAATAAAATCTAGCAAGGCACTTTGAAAAATGGTGGTTTGATAATATGGAAAAGCTAAAAGAGACACTTTTTGTGTTGTGTGAAGGATCTTAAAGGAACTTTGATCTTTCTACATAAAGTAAGAGTAGTTTGGAAAAAATTAAGGTTTTATGGATGGCGGCTGCGTTTACCTTGGATAACTAAATGAGAGAGGAAAAGCAAGGTGGCTTTATGCATCTCTATTGTCAACTATGTTCTTAATTAAAAGCTGGTTATCCATTCAAAAATAAAAAAATAAAAGCTGGTTATTGTGGCCTAATCACTAAGCACAAGAACTATAGCTAATCAATAATGAAAGAAAAAAGCCAAAAAAGAGGAATAGGGTTTGGAGGAATCATATCACAATGCTTTTCCCCAATGTCTCTTTGCCCCTTTTCACCCTAGTGGAGCAAAGCTATCAACATTTGTTGGTGGATTCCCCATTTACTTGCCTTTGCATTTTTAAGCATGAAAACGAATTTGGGTAAATTTAGGGTTCTCCCCTTTTTTGTTGCTTGATTTTCTAGCTTGGGGTGACTATGTCCCGAAAATAGACCATGAAAAGCTTGTGTGTAATAGTCTATGGTGCACAATTATGTGATTTCACTATTAAGGGTCGCAACAGGCGGCCTTAGCCCAGGGCGGCCCTTGTCCATAAAGGGCGATGGCCCTATTAGGGTCGGCCAAGGCTAAAAATAAATGAAAAAAAAACAAAATAAATGAAAAAAGCAAGAAAAACAAAAGAGGACAGGGCCGGGCTGACACTGACCCTAGCCCAGCCCTACTTTTTTAGAGCCGGGCTGGGCCACCCAAGCCCTCTCTTTTCAGTGAGGGGTAAAAGGGGTTAATTGTAGGTGATTAACCCATGATATTTTGCTAATCTCGGTGGTCCATCCTTTCGGAATAAACAGTGGATGCTCCAGTTGTGCACCAATCCCATCATTGTTAGAAAAACCAGGCGATCTAACGGGTAACTGCCTGGTCGGTTCCAGTTTTGGGCAGTTTTGGTGATCGACTGGTATTTTAAAAATAAATATTCAAAAATATATATAAAAAATCTCAAAAATAAGGAATTTAAGTTGTAATATATTTTTAAATATTTTTTACATTATGGTAAATATTAAAAATTATTTTGGTCATTAATACTCACTTTTAAAATCTATTTTTTTTATTAATTTTCAACTTCATTTGAATGTGTTTTGTTTTAATCACTATTTATAGGGAAACTATCCCCTTATTCCCTATTTTTATCTTCCACATCTCATGAGACCCAAGAATTGAAAATATTACTCGTAAGTAAAAGGTTTACATCTTTTCTATCTTACAACCCCCTGGACCCCTTTGACCATAAATTTTTTACCCAAACAAACACTAAAATGATACCCTATTCAAACTCCATCTCTCTCTCTTCGCTTCTCGATGAATTTACCAGGCAAGGGATTTAGCTTGAGCTCGAACACGAGCACACCTTCTTATGTGTGAGAGAGAGATGGAGTTTTAGAGAGAGAGATGGAGTTTGAGTTTCAGGGAGAGATATGGAGTTTAGAGAGGGAGAGATGATGATGTGAGAGAGAGAGATGGAGTTTGGGTTTTAGAGAGAGATGAAGTTT